TCTCTGTCAAACCTTCTGAAACTTTAGATTCGGCAAATACAGTTCTAGGTATTCCTCTTGAGCCTGTTATGTTTTCCGATGATAATGTTTCTGTCCCTAATACCATTGTTGCAGCTGATCCCACTGACCTTGATCTTTCCATTGCACTTTGTAAGGGGAAGAGAAAGTGTACAACCCACTGCATTTCACACCATCTTTCCTACAGGGCCTTATCACCCTCCTACCGTGCTTTTCTTTCTTCTCTAGATTCTGTGTCTATACCCAGGAATGTTACTGAGGCTCTCTCCAAATATGAGTGGAAAACAACCATGCAAGATGAGATGGATGCATTGGTCAAAAACCAAACTTGGGAAATATTTGATCTTCTCCCAGACAAGGAGACAGTCGGATGTCGATGGGTATTCACAGTGAAGTACAAGGCCGATGGCAAGATAGAGAGGTACAACGCAAGGTTGGTAGCAAAAGGGTATACTTAGACCTATGGTGTTGATTATCTGGAAACCTTTGCACCAATAGCTAAGATGAGTTCAGTCCGTATACTTTTATCTTTAGCATCCACCTATTCATGGCCCTTGTTCCAGCTTGATGTCGAAAATGCTTTCCTCAATGGTGACTTACAGGAGGAGGTATATATGGACATTCCAGCAAGCTTTTATGAAAATGTTGGAAAAGGAAAGGTGTGCAGACTTAGAAAATCTTTGTATGGACTGAAACAGTCACCTAGGGCTTGGTTTGACAGGTTTAGAGGGGCACTCATCCGTTTTGGATACACATAGACACAGTCTGATCACACCTCTTTGTGAAGAGGAGAGATGCTTTGGTGTCGGTTCTGATTGTGTATGTGGATGATATAGTGGTGATAGGAAATGATCTAGAGGAGATTGATGATCTTAAAAAATCATTGCAGCAAGAATTTGATATCAAAGATCTTGGTGAGCTCAAATACTTCTTGGGGATTGAAGTTGCAAGATCTAAGCATGGGATATTCATTTCACAAAGAAAGTATATACTTAACCTACTACGAGAGACTGGGAAGCTGGGGACCAAACTAGCAGACACTCATATTGATCCAAATCACATAATTAATGGTGTGGATGGTGAATTGGTAAATGATGTAGGGAGATATCAAAGAATGGTGGGCCAACTGCTGTATCTGTGTATGACACGACCGGATATTTCTTATGCTGTCAGTGTTGTGAGTTAGTACATGCATGCACCTCGGGTTTAGCATTGGGAAGCTATTGAGAGAATATTTGCATATCTGAAAAATCACCCTGGCAGAGGTATTCTTTTCTCAAATCATGAGAATCTGAAGCTAGAATCCTATACAGATGCAAACTGGGCAGGATGCTTAGATGACAGGAGGTCTACATCAGGAGTGTGYACCTTTGTAGGTGGAAACTTGATCTCCTGGAAGAGTAAGAAGCAAGCGGTTGTGGCAAGGTCAAGTGCAGAGGCTGAGTATAGATCCATGGCTCAWGGTRTCTCARAACTTCTTTGGGTTWGATCTCTTTTGAGTGAGATTGGGGTGAAAGCAGAGGAACCTATGATGTTATACTGTGACAATTAGGCTGTAATCAATATTGCCCACAATCCAATTCAGTATGATAGGACAAAACACATTGAAGTTGATAGACACTTTATAAGAGAAAGGGTAACAACCGGAGAGGTTTGTTTGCCTTATGTCTCTTCAGAGTTGCAGCTGGTTGGTGTTCTCACTAAAGGGGTGGCAAGGAACAAGCTTGAACATGATCTACACAAGTTGGGAATGTGTGACATTTACTCCCAACTTAAGGGGGAGTGTTGAAGATTAATTAGTTTTATGATGTTTTTCTATGTAGATGTTTATGTTAGTTGTTTGATAGGAGGTGGGGACCACAGTAGTTATGTGAGTCCAAATTTTATTAATTTTTTTTAGTGTTATATGCTGTTTTATGTTTTGCCGCCCTATAAGGGCATAGTTGTCTTTGTATTGTTCTATTATTTTAGTATAAATAATAAGTGAAGGGGGCGGCCAGAATGATTGCTCTCTTTTCTTTCAACTTCTCTTCTTCTTCTCTCTTCCTTCTCTCTTCAAGAAACAACTTTCTTTCATATTTTTTAATTCAGTAGATTTCTACTGAATGGATAGATGCAATGCAAGAAGAAATTGATGCTTTACACAAAAATGGCACTTGGGAGTTGGTGGACCTTCCTGAAGGGAAGGAACCAATGGGTTGCAAGTGGGTGTTAATAGTGAAACACAAGGCTGATGGAACTGTTGAAAGGTACAAGGCTAGATTGGTAGCAAGAGGTTTTACACGGGTATATGGAGTGGATTATGCAGAGACTTTTGCTCCAGTAGCCAAGATGAATTCTATCAGGATCCTTCTTTCATTGGCAGCAAATCTTGACTAGGAACTTCACCAATTGGACATCAAAAATGCTTTCTTGAATGGTGACTTGGAAGAGGAAGTGTACATGACCCAACCTCTAGGGTTCTGTGCTAAAGGCAGTTAACAAAAGGTGTGCAGGTTAAAAAAATCTTTATATGGGTTGAAACAATCACCTCGGGCTTGGTTTAGTAAGTTCCATTTAATAGTTCAACAAATGGGATTCAAACAATGTGTTGAGGGCCCGCGAATAGGATCTCGACATGGGTCGGTCCACGGGGAAAACCTCCTGTTTTCCCTTGTTCCTTCCTGCTCTTGATGAACCTATCTTGGCGCCTTGGTGATTTGTTCAAGAGATCACCAACTCTCCTAACTCACTTCTTGACTGAATATTCGATATCCTCATCCAATAATGGTGTCTCCTTAAATAGGAGATTACAAGAGTCCTAATCCTAGGGAGTCTCCTTGCTGAATAGGGAGACTTCCGGCTCTATCTTGATAAGGATAAGATAAGTCTCTCTTAATCCTAATCTGATAGGATAAGATAATCTAATCAATTAATAAGATAAGATAAGAACAAGTAAGATGGTCTAATCTAATCTGGATAAGACTGTTGTTGCCGAATTGGGTAGGATGAGAAAATTGAATCACTGCTGCTGCTGGCGGCGGTCAAGTCTCTGCTGCTGTCGGCGGCGATGATACTTCTTCCCGAGGAATGCGTCCATAACACAATGCCAGTCAGATCACACTCTATTTGTGAAAAGTGGTGATGAAAAAATTGCAGCTCTTATTGTGTATCTGGATGACATAGTGATCACAGGAGATTGGGAGGCTGAAATACGGAGACTAAAAAAATTCTTAGCCACTCAATTTGAGGTGAAAGATCTARGCCCCTTACATTACTTCCTTGGAATTGAAGTTGCTCGCTCTCACAAGGGCATCTTTATTTCCCAACGAAAATATGTACTAGATCTACTAGAAGATACAGGCAAGTTGGGGGTAAAACCAATTGATTCACCAATTGAATCTAATCATCACATGGGAGATAGTCAAGGAGAGTTTTTGAAAGATGTGAAGAAATTCCAGAGACTTGTGGGGAGACTTTTGTATTTTTCTATGACCAGGCCTGATATTGCCTATGCAGTGGGTGTCCTTAGTCAATTCATGCACAATCCTAGGACAACTCACTTTGAAGCTGCAGAGAGGATCCTGAGATACCTCAAGAAGTTTTCCGGAGCTGGTTTGTTGTTCCAGAAACATGGTCACTTAAAGGTGGAAGTATATACTGATGCAGATTGGGCAGTAGTCAATGACCGAAAGTCTACCAGTGGGTATTGTGCATTTGTAGGAGGAAACCTGGTCACATGGAGAAGTAAAAAACAAGGTGTGGTGGCTAGATCTAGTGCTGAAGCAGAGTATAGAGTGATGGCTCATTGGGTTGCTGAAATCATGTGGATAAGAAATCTGTTAGGTGAATTGGGTTTTGCAGTGAGCAATCCTATGTCACTCTACTGTGACAATAAAGCTGCCATCAATATTTCTGCTAATCCATTCCTGCATGATAGGACGAAGCACTTTGAAGTGGACAAGCATTTTACTAGAGAGAAACTTGTAAATGGAGAAGTGTACTCCATATGTCAGCTCAGAAGAACAACTTGCAGATATCTTCACCAAACGTCTTCATCATGTGCGACACAAAGATTTGTGTGACAAGTTGGGCAGGATTGACATCTATGCTCCAACTTGAGGGGGAGTGTTGAAATAATTTAGTTGTTGGTGTTGGGGTCTATTTGGCTAGTTAAAGCATTTTTTATTTCTATATTTTTTCTTCTGTTATGTCTGTTATTGTACTCATAGCAGGGGCACAAGGGTCTTTCCCCTTCTTATTTCTGCCGCCCTATATATATTATAATAAAAGCTGGTGCTGCCAGCACTGTTACATTGCCAATCCCTTCTCTTCTCTTCTCCCTTCTCTCTTCTTCTTCTCTTCTCTTTTCTTCCTCTTATTTCTGTCAAGAGTTTTAATAATTTTCCCTAGTTCCCCCAGGATCAATCAATCCATATGCAACATTCCAATACTAATAATGCCTTACTCCTATAAACAGAACTAGATTTAATTATGTATCCATCAATTTCTACTTTTATTTTAATTATTTTTAACACTCCTACGCATGTATGTATGTATTCTGTTCTATGGATAAATGTAGGCTTATTGACTCTTTCCAATTGAAACAGGGTCCAACTTTGGCTACATTGAGTATGATGATGTGAATGGACACATGGAATGTTCTGCTAGACATTTGATCTTAAGGATTTTAGAATTATCATATTTTTTGTCTGTTTGTACTCATCTTTCTTTTTTCTTTCTTCACTTTTTTTTTTGTTTATGTTGGCTTAACTCTTAAGCTCCATAAACACTATATTCGTTTTACCGATTAATCTTATCAAATTATAACCGTTAAGTTATAACTTATACTCTCAATCAATTTATACACAATGTTGAACCATTGGATTAGCATTAGGTTGCTCTCCATCAATCAATTTATACACAACGTTGAAATCCTAGTAACACCTTAATTACTCTCAATCTATCATAAACAATTTATTGATTGTTTTTCATTTGAACAGGGCCCAACTTCAGTTGCATCGAATTTGCTGTCTGTTGATATGAACACACGTATGGAGCTAGCATTCAACCTCATCAATCATGTGATCCTGTCAAACCCAGTAAACACCCATCACAGAAAAGCTTGTTGCTTGTCTTCCCCAGCTCATGTTTCTGGTGTTCCCCTACTCATTTTCACTACGCATATATGCTCAGATTGGGAAAGCCAGGAGGTAAGAGATCATTTCCTTTTTCTTTCCAGTTTTCTGTAATTAATTAGTATCCAAAGTGCATCATTTTATCATGAATCAATTATTTTTATACTGTGTGGGTATAAAAATATTTATTACAGAGACTAGTTGTTAATTAAGAATTTTCCCTTACAGGACAGCCGTATTGTGTTGTTGAGGCTAAAATATATGGTTGAAATTACTAAATACACTTGAATAAGAGGATTTCATCTGTTGATGCATGGCTTCAAGCACTCTAAACAACTTGCTGGCTTCATTTTAATTACTTTCATCGGCATTCCATATTAGAGCAGTTCTAGCATTAGGGGAGAGTACCCTTGAGATCACAAGTGCACAAAACATGAATAAGGTTTTTCATATGTAAGTGGTTATGGAGTTTACATTCTGTATTTCTTCTGATGAATTCAAGAATCCATGACTCTACCATTGCTCTCATAACCGAGGGCTGGTTCGTTGGTGTATTAGCTGGTTTGTTCCAGTGTTATGTAGAATCGAATCCTACATCCTGCACCTTGGGGAAAAAGGGGTCAAAGAGAATAATACCAAAAAAAATAAAATAAGAATATGATACTCTGATTTTAATGCTTTACTGAAATATCCTTCCCATAGCACACTTTGGAATGTTTAATTAACTACACTCAAGGGTCAAAATGCTTGGGATCAACAGAAGGAGCGGAAACATTGCAATTTTGCATTTCTGTAGGGAACTAAATCCTTCATCAACCAGCATGGTTAATCAAATGGGTCCTTGCAGTTTTTTCAGTTGAAACCTTCTGTTTTGCTAAATAGGATGCTAGTTCTTGAATACTTGTCAGCTTTCTCGAACTAGGAGCTCCACTGAAAATTTTGTTCTCTTATTTTTGGCCATCTGCTAACATTTTATAATTGCAAATTCCCGTGAAAATGTGCAATTCCTATTAATTAGAGATGAAGATGGGGATTTTCATCTGCCAAGGAATATGTGTTTATGATTGGGGATTTTCATCCCGAATCCAAGGCATTTGAGATCTTGTTTGTGGGATGCATGCCCATGTTCATGATTTGGGTCATTACTAGTCCAATATATGTTCTTTTCCAACTGCGAAGGAATATGTGTAATGCCTATTGTACAGTATTCGGTTCTAGGGCTCAAGTACAACAAATCAGATGGTGATTGTTGTGATTGTGTTTTGAATTCCAGTTGCAGCCTGAGCCATGATCCAATCCTAATTTTGTGGTGAAAATCCAGCAAATAAAAATTCATTGAGGTCTGCGGTGGATTCAGAGGGCTTGGGTTTCATATATATTATATTTGTTTCTAGGGTTTGAAGCAAGAGAATGTTATACTAAACAGAGTGTGAGAGAGAAGATTTTGGGTGTATAGGGCGCAAGGGTTTGAAAGAAGCTGTTAATACTTGTACCCCATTGTTGATTATAATGGATTCTTGCTCTTCCTACCGTGGATGTAGGCTTAAAGCCGAACCGCGTTAAATCTCTATGTGCTTTCTTGATTTGCTCTATTATGGTTTTTTGTTTCATTTGCTCTATTTATCAATCAGTTTCATATCTTTGGGGTTTTGGCACAACTGTGAAATTCTGTCATTATGCATTGCCACATGGAATATGTAAGAAATATTCAATCCTTTTGTTGCTGAACAAAGGATCCCATGTTTGTATTTCGTAGGCGATATAATGCAATCTATAATGAGGATTGGTTTAATCTCGTCCTTTAATCTGTTTTATTGGTTTTGGCTTTTCAGTCAAATTAATATTTATGTTGAAACCTATTGCATTTGGATCCAAAGGGTTTCCAGTTGTGGTCATTTTAACACTCTTCGTATTGTTGTTTGATCATGTGCTTGCTCTATTCCTAATGCCATCCATTTTTGAAATGTAGTTAGTTAAATGTTGTTTGATCACGGGCAAATGGGAAGGCAACGAAACAATTTTGAATAATTCTTTATTGAATAATCGGGAGATTAAAAATGAAAGAAAAATTTAATATAATTTTCAATTAAAAATCGAACTTTAGCAATTTACACTAATTCTGTGTTACCTCATTCTTTGGGATAAATAACTCAATTTATTCGTACTTGTTAAAGAATGGATACAAGAGAGAGCCCTTAAATAACTCAATTTACATACCGACCTTGAAGAAGAGATAAACTTTGCTAATACTGACCAAACAGTGAGGGACTCTAAAAACCAGAACCTCAATTATAATGTTTGCTGATGCCAACCAGTCCAAAATAGCAAACCTGTATCTCCCTTTAATTGCTTCTAATGAATAAAAACCCCTCCATTCCATAAATGCCAAAATTGCAAAACATGCGTACTTCAAAATTAGTTTCATCAAGGAAGCAAGACCCATCAATAAGCAATCTTTGCGTTAGATGGGGAAGACCGGGGAACAATAACTTAGCTTCAAATCAGCATAAATTCCATCTTTATCCCAATAAGGTTAAACCCCATAAACTACCATGGTTGAAATTAAATTTCGGTTCAATTAGGGCACAAAACTAGATTTGCATTTATAGTTGGAAAATAATATAAAGCCAAAGGCATCTCTCTACACAAGAAAAAAAAAAAAAAGTTCAGGGCATCTCGCAAACACTGTTTTAACGAAGCAGACAAAGACCAGAAACCTCACAAAATCACTGGTTTACCAGGTTGACCAATATTGTAATTGTCAGCCTGTCAAAAGACTCAAAACCACCCAAATTCAAGAATCAGAAGGCTCAATTTCTCACTGGTTCAACTGTCTGATCTGGTCCAGGTCTGACAATACTGGTCAGACCATAAAACTTCTCCCTATCAAGATCCCCCAAAATCTACCTCCATTTCACCAGACAATAACATATATGATTAATTGGAGGTAAATAGCACCAGAATTGGCCTTTCAAGGGCAGAAAGAACAACGCATACCATACAAAGGGGATATTTGAATGACTTGTTGTTTTGCCAATAAATAATAATAAAATATTCAATGGTATAGAAAGCTAATCAACTTCAGCTTCAGCCACCAAGGAGCACACAACCTCCTTAAAAACTTATTCACTAAAAGACAAAACAATAAACTTTTCAGTTCAGCCACTTCAGCTGTCCCAAGAAAGGCCAGAGTCCCAAATGCTAACTATATCCCATGCTTTCTCCCAATCCCAAACTCTAGTGATCTCCAAGAACCACCATAGCCACTTTCCTAAGAAAGCATACACTAATAGCAAATGCTAAATGAGAGGGTGACCCTTGTAATGTAATTTTCCTTTAATATGTTAAGTGTATAATCATTATAACTCTGATACAACCCATTGAATACTAAAATCAAACCATACAGGAGATCCCTCGATGTTTTTAGCAATTCTACTTTCTACAAAGGTTTTACAAAAACTAAAAAGAAAGGCGGGTGGGATAAAAGGACTGAAGGAAAGTAACATTAATATACTTGCTTCATTTTCCTTCCATAACAAAAATGCCAAGTCCATCAATCACCAAAAGATCATGCTTACCAAAATCCCAGCAATCACTAACCGGCATAAATTATTCATGGAAAATGCCAATATTATGAAGTTGAAAAATGCAGATAAATAGCAAAAGTGCTGAAGTTTCTACATAATATTTTAGCATATTCATACATGGTCATGCCATCTAGAGACACTTGACAGCTGATATCTATTGGTAAATGGGGTCACTGTAACTTTAGAGGAAAAGCTTTGAGGCGCGTCTGAAGACACTATCCTTAGAACGTTATTTGCCCCCACTCAGTTTTACTAAGTTTGCTATTGAGTTACAGGTAAATCAATTCTTAGGATACAACAAAGCCTTGGGCGAGAATCTGCAACTAGCAAAGTTGAAGAATTTCTAAAGAAACCTTCTATGAGGCTGCAGCAGGCTGGACTGAGAGAGAGAGAGAAAGTGGATTTCGGAAATGTGTGTTTTTGAAGTCTGATTCAAGCTCCTTAAATAGTTTATGAAAATGTATGAAGAAAAGGTAGGTGCTAGTTCAGAGAAGGCACCTTGAACAGTCACAATTTCAAACATTGTGACTGTTTAAAAGGTAAATAACAGTTAATGACTGTTAATTTTGAATTGTGCCTCTTGATCACATTAGATCGAATGGTGGCCGTTGATGTCATCAACGGTGATAAATGGTTAGCATCGCACCAAAACCAAAGCCACCCTTTGCGAGCCACGTGGGTGCATGCGAAGTGCGAGGAAAGTGCACCTCTAAAGCGTCTCATTGTGTCGCGCACACGCGTGCGTGTGCGTTGCGCGGTATCAAACCCTCACACTCTCATCTTCTATTTCTAAGGAGTGTAAATCAGTTCCTATTAAAATGTTGAAAACAAAGCTTATAATTTTCCAATGTGGGATAAGTTCAAAACTGGATTTTGTAAGAAAAAAACTAATTTTCCAATCAAGTGTGCTAGTGCAATTTCTCATGTAACTGACAAGTCAAACCCATTGGATTTAATCTCTTATGAGATTAAAATCTAACAATCCCCACAATGATTGATCAATTATTTAGCTAGCATTACCCATGTCTTTCATTTCAAAGTTGGTTTTTAACCGATCTTTAGTTCCAGTAGTCATAGGCACATCATTTCTAGCAATAAGAAGATCATCTACATAAAATGAAAGAGTAACAAAACTACTTTCACTATTCAGAGAGTAACACAATGATCAAATTTATTAGGAACAAATCCAAGTTTAGAGATTGCTTCCTGAAAAGTTTGGTAACACATCCTAGAGAACTATTTTAAACCATACAATGATTTCTTTAATTTATACACTTTGTTTTCATGTCCCTCTATTACATAGCTTATGGGTTGAGTCATGTATATTTCTTCATTCAGCTTTCCATTAAGGAAAGCTATTTTAACATTTGGTTGGAATAATTCTAAGTTCAAAAAGGCAACTAAGGACATTAGGATTCTAATAGAGGTAAACTTGGCAATTGGAGAATAAGTTTCCTCATAGTCAATTCCTTCCACTTGGGTGTACCCTTTTGGCACTAGCATTGCCTTATACTTTTCTATAGACTCATTAACTTTGAGTTTTCCTTTTATGGGGTGTTAGATCAATTCCTTCCACTCAGTTAGATCTAGTTTTCTATCGGTCCACATTTCATAGGGTGTTATGCTATTAATTTTAGTTGGAACTTTGTTTAAAATATATACAACAATATGTAAGGCTTCTCCCCAAAAGCGTGTTCCTAGATTTGAGTGAGATAATATTGATCTCATCATATTCAACATAGTCCTATTTCTCCATTCACTCACTCCATTTTGTTGTGGTGTGAAGGACGTGGTTAGTTGGTGTATAAATCCATTTTGTGTACAAAAGTCATTGAATAGGTTGGAGATATATTCTCCAATTCTATCACTCCTAAGAGTTTTTATTTTAATTTCTTCTTAACCGGTCTCTACAAGTGTTTTTTATTCTTTAATATTTTTTTCTAATGCTTCTAATTTTCTCTTAACCAAGTACACAAAATCAAATCTAGAGAAATCATCTATAGAGGTCACAAAGTATTCCATACCCCTATGTGTTTTAACATTCAAAGGGCCATGGACATCAGAGCGTATTATTATTAATAATTCATCCAATTTCTTTCATTTCTTAAAAGGGAGTCTAGTCATTTTTCTACTAAGGCATGGTTCATGGAATTTGAAATTTATTTCTATTTTGGGAATTAATCCATTGGAGCTCATTCTCATTATTTTATCCTTATTTACGTGGCAAAGTTTCATGTGCCATATATATGCATTTTCATCTACATGATAAACACTGTCAACATAACTAGAATGAGCATTTACTTTATTAATATTCAAACAATACAATCCATTAGAATTATTCCCAAACTTTAACACTCTACCATGCTTCCCAATGGTCACTTTTCTTCCCCTAAAATGTACATCAAAATCTTTTTCATCTAAAAGAGGTATAGATAACAAATTTCTCCTAAAATTAGGTGCATACAATACATCGGTAAGGATGAAATTCATGTTCTTATTTATGGGGATCTTTACTTTTCTCGTTCCAAGTTCATCAGTGTAGGGTTGTTTCCCATAAAAATTCAGTGTCCTTTTGTCTTCATTTCTTTCAATTTCAAGCACATCTCTTTAGTTTTGCAAATGTGCTTAGAGGAGCTAGAATCTATGCACCAATCAGAAAAAAACAGAATCAGAAAAGTAAGATTCAGAGACTACACAAACTATATCCTTCTTTTTGGTTTTGTTCTTTTCATTATTTGACTTGTTCTTCTTGCATTCAAGGCAATTATATTTTGTGTAGCCTTGTTTTCCACAACTAAAGTAATGTTTTCTCTTAGTCTTCTTGAATCCTTTTGAGAATTTAAACTTTTTATTGAATTTCTTTCTATTATTATCTTTGAAATTTTTTCCCTTAGGCTTTTTAGTCATTTGGGAAGTAACCATTAAGGTTGAAGATTGGGATTCCTTCATCTTTCTTTCAGCCTTTAAGCCTAGCAAAGTAGGTAAGTTTTCTATACTAACTTCTCTTCCAAATAGGTTTAGAGTTGTTAGTACAGAATCCCAAGAAGGTGGGAGGCTATTGAGGATAGTGGAGACCTGTATTTTCTCAGGAATGGGGTTCCTAATGGCTACCAACTCTTTGGCAATCACATTTATTTTACTAACATGATCCATTACAGAATTTTCCTCTCTCATTTCACAACCATAATATTTCTCAATTAGAAGT